TTACTATGTTGTTCAATAACGATAGGTTGATTTCCATTTCCATTAAATTGAAGTTCTATAACTTCATCTGATTCATCTGTAGTTGTACCAAATGGCAAGAACGACATATTTGTTTTATTTTGTTTTTCTTTTCTTTGGAGAGTTCCTTATTTATTGATTTTTCTTTTTTTATTTTCTAAAATTGTTATTCATCCCTATTTTTATTATTTCTTTGTTTTTCTCTTTTATTTTCAATTTTATTTTTATCTTTTGTTATTTCTTTTTTCTTTATTAATTGACTTCTTTTTTATGTTTTATTGAAACACTGTCTTATTCTATCTTTTTCTTTTTATTAACTTCTTCTTCATTCTTACTCTTTTCTTCTATTCTTAATTATGATTTCCTTTTTTTATTATTCTTTATCTATTCATTTGAATATTTACAAAAGTACTATTGGAAATAGTCTATGAATTTATTCAAAATCAAGAGGTTAATTTTATTGTTAATTCTTTTGATTTGTTACAAGATTCCTATGATGATTTATAGTGATTTGTTATCTTATCTCTTTATCACTTTCCTTCATCTTTTTATATCAATTTGTTATAAAGTTAATGTAATAAAAATAAGTATTAATATAATAATTATTTCATTAAATTAATTTAAAAAGAGTTTACATGAAACCAATAAATTATTTTAATGAGTATAATATCAAATTACACAGAACTTACAACATTTATAAATAACTAATTATCATAAACAATATAATATTTTTTAAACTATTTTAAATGAACAATAACTACCACATTATATTTAATTAACATAATTATTATCTTTAACTATACTGTTTCATTGCTTCAAATATTGAACAACATTCTATATAAAATACCATTAATTTTAAATTATTGTTTGATACTGATTCTTTTTATTGTTGTACTAATTGAAATAGTATTTTTAAAAATACTCACTATTTTATATTTTTATTTTCACAGTAAATTTAATTGTGTATATCTCCAACTGTTATTTACAGATTAAACAGAA